GGAAACAGCTTGTCTTCTGGAGGGGGGGGGGGGCTCCGCCAATCATCACACCACCCCATCCCACCCAACCTGCAAAAAAAGAAAAAACCCTCCCAAAAAAAAAAAAAAAAAAAAAAAAAAAAAAGAGGTTATTCCTCTTCTGCAGATGAAGAAATTGAGGCTGAGAAGGCCAGTTGCCCAAGATCACGAAGCCAGTAAGTGGCCCGTTGAGGATTCCTGCTGATGCCTAAGCTATGCCCTTCTCCGCCTGTAGCACTCTTCTCAGATAAACAACCTTGAGGCATTCCCTGTAAAGCCCAAGCTTTTCTGCAGCCTTGGGACTTCCCAGGGTGAGCCCGCCCCTCTCAGGGGTGCGAGCCCCTCTCCGGTGAACAGGCCCGGGCTGTGCTGCTGTTCACTCATCCATAGCTTCCCATCTGCAGAAGGAAACAGCAGGTACTTAAAGTCACGGCAAAGAAAGGGATCCCCACCTTTGCCTGTAGTTAGAGCTGGAGCTCTGCAGACTTCTGGGTTTCGGGGTAATGATGTTTTATTTGGAATGACATGACTCTGGGAAAAGAAAGGAGGTCTTTGAGGTGGACACAGCTGCCCAGTGTGCACCAGCACTCGGGAGAAGAACAGGATCTCCTTGTCCTCTGTCCAGTGGTGCTGTGTGTTCCCCAGTGGGGTCTGAGATTCTTAACACCGCCCCCGCCAACCTGACCAAGCCGAGCCGTGGAAGCCCATTCCGATCAGTATTTCCCAAAGTATTTCTTAAAGAACACAAGTCTTGCAAAGTGCTTTTTTAGAAAGTGGGGGAGGTTCACATTTTTTAGGCTCTGAGAAGTCCTGTAGTAAAATAAATTTGCTTTCCCTTTTCAGCATGGGATTTCCCAGTCTTATTTAACTGCTTTCCATCCTCACATTACAGTACCGAAACTGGTGATTTTGCTGATGATTGTAGTTTGGTTTTGGATATGTTTAAAATGAGTTCCTTCTCAGGCCATTTCTTCTTTGTAGCTTGCATTGGGACTTCTCTTTCCTGATGTATAGCCATCTTTTCAGCTAACGCCAGATTTTTTCATGTAAGAGCAATGATTTTGTACCTTTTTTGTGCTATTCTAATTTAAGATTTTTAAAAAATAGTTGTAAGGTGGTAGAAAGGTTGTGATAATGATATGATGAACTGTTCACACTGCGCCCAGATGCCCTTAAGATTATAGCACATTTGCTTTATCATTCTTCTTCTCAGTTATTCTTTTTCTTCTGAACCATTTAGGGGTAAGTTGTGGCATGATGTCCCTTTAATCTGAATTATTTCAGTGTAAAATTTCTAAGAACAAGAGCTTCCATAACCACAGTACCATTATAAAAACCAGGAAGTTATTGATGAAGTTCATTGTTTAATCTATACGCTTCTTCCTAATTGCTTCCTTTATAGCAAAAGAAAAGATGTCTTCATCCTAAATCTTCTCTCCCAGCATGTATGTAACACAGTTTTGACCTGCGTTGTGAGTAGAAGCCAGTTCTTGTAGAAAGCGCCTGGGTTCAGCCTGGGCTCCTCACTCACGGTTACATTTAGGCTATGCCTTTTTGGCAGGAGCACCCAGAAAACTGATGTTGCGTCTTCTTCTGCACATCCTCTCAGGAGGCCCTCAAGGTCAATTTGTCTTATTCCTGGTAGTGGTAATTTAGACACTTGATGAAGATGCTGTCAGCCAGATTTCTCCACCGTAAAGCTATTATTTTCGCCTTTGTAATAAATAAGTATTAACAGTACAATACTTTGATGCCATGAAAATGCTTTTTCTCATCCACCTTTCTTCTGCTGGCTTCAGAAGATCTTCATTAATGGTTACTACGGTAATTGCCAAAGGGTAGTTTTCTGATGCATCGTGCCTTTATTTACTGTCTGACATTCTCCTGCAGGAAGGAGCTTTGCCTTCTCCTCTATTAATTTATTTGCTCATTTATTTATAAATAACACTACAGACTCACAGATTCTGATTTTGTGGGTTATGATCCATTACTTTTATAATTCGTTTTGATGCCCAGATTTCGTCATCCTGCCTCCGGTGCCTTTTTGACATGTCCTCATAATTCTTTGAGCACTTCCGGACATGCAGGCACAAAATATTCCTACTTCATCCTGCAGTTCCCTGCCCTAACCCTGTAGTCAGGCATATCCTCAAGGAGCCCTGGTTTTTTCCGAAGGAGAATGACAGTTCAGAATTACCATCTAGGTGCTATTGCCACTAGAGGCCACTCAGATGCCGAAGCACTGAAGCATTGTGGCTCCAAGCCTATCCCATGGGACGAGGCCAGGGAGTGAGAGAGAGAGAGAATATGTGTGTGTGTATGTGTATATGATTAGTACCAGATTTTAAAATATTTTAGCAATCAACTATTTTCCATTCCCCAGGCTTTTTCTTCTCCGTGACAGCCAGAGTAATCCAAAGGCATTTGTACTCACACTGTGTCATCACCAGAAAATTAAAAATTTCCAGATCTTACCTGTAAGTATTGATATTCTGAGACCAATCCTCGTGGTTTTGTCTTCCGGTTTCATTCTTAATGTGATTTTCAAGTTATAAACTGACAAGACCGATGAGTATCAGACAGCTTCAAGCCTGCAGGTGAGAAACTTTCAAGAATTTCTTTACAGGTTTGTCTTTTGAAATTAGAAAAACATTTTCCCAGAAATAATCCCAAAAGTGGTGATGGGGTGCTGAGGCACCCCCTTGTGCCTGTGAGCTCTCAGTTGCAGCGGAAAGGGTACCTAATGGGGAAGATCAAGGTCACATGAAGGGGAGGGGGAGGAGAACAGTTAGCTGAGGGCCCAATAGCCGCAAGCACCTGGGTCTGGAAGGCAGGAGTTGTGCAGCAGGTTTGCCTGTTGGCTGCGTGAGCCTCAGGAGTTTTGTGGTTTGTCCTGGGGTCCACCAGGCCTGTCCAAGAAGCATAAGTGGCCTCATGAAGAGCAATTAACATTTCTCCTTCCACACATGATCATTGGATCTAAAGACGATTCTCTTTGAACAATTCCAAAAACCTCGTTACAGAATACGTGAATCAATGCTACTTTTTTTTGACAAAGCACTTTATGTTTGATTTGCCTAATGTCTTTTACCTCTCACTTCAGTGTGCCACAGTTCAATTCTAGTCCATGATTAGAGTGTTAGATTAGCACTTGCAAGAATTCGGGTTAGCTGAGAATATAATACACAGAATTGGTAGCTGCTGTTTACATGATGGATTGATAAATTCTGCAGGTAACGACATGTTTGTGAAATGCATCCTGTGGTACCTAAACTCGGGAAATGTTCTACCAAAAGAGGCTGGCTGGATCGTTTCCACTCAGAGCCTCAATCTGCACATCAACAAAGAATAAGCTCTGAGAAGGCTTCGGTTAGCTAAACTCATCCGTTTCACACAGTTGAGCCTGGACTTGTTTACCCCCAGGACTTAGTTATGATAGCAAGAATCGCGTAGTGGACGGCAGTCACTACAGGGATGAGGAGGGTGTTGTGCTTAGCTTTTGTGAGCCAGGGGAAGGCAGCGTGCCACGCGCTGTCTATTCTGTGGCTGATTGCTTCCTGCCGTGTGCTGCCATGCCTACCTTACTTGGGAGGAAAATGAGGCTCATGGCTGTCAGTGCTTTCCCTGCACCACTCTGGGGCGAGAAACAGAATCTGGGGTTGAGACCAGGCTTCCCAGCTTCCAGCCAACCTAATATGCAAATACAGGAATTACTATCCCAGGGAAAGTGCCTCGTTGACAATCCTTTCTGTTCCACTGCATTGTATTATTCATACAGTTGTTATAATTCTCTTAGCTCAAAATATAAAAAGGAGGGCCGGGCGCGGTGGCTCATGCCTGTAATCCCAGCACTTTGGGAGGCCGAGGCGGGTGGATCACGAGGTCAAGAGATCGAGACCATCCTGGTCAACATGGTGAAACCCCGTCTCTACTAAAAATACAAAAAATCAGCTGGGCATGGTGGCGCGTGCCTGTCATCCCAGCTACTCAGGAGGCTGAGGCAGGAGAATTGCCGGAACCCGGGAGGCAGAGGTTGCAGTGAGCCGAGATCGCGCCATTGCACTCCAGCCTGGGCAATAAGAGCGAAACTCCATCTCAAAAAAAAAAATATATATATATATATAAAAAGGAAAAGTGATTGATATTTTGGGCTGGATGAGTAAATTTAAAAAAAAGAGAGAGAGAGAGAGAAAGGGGCTTTCATGGTAGGCAGAGTAATGCCCAAATCCTACAAGTAACAAAAGAACAGCAACTTGGGACACAGGGCAGTAAGTGTGCACCCTGTGTGTGAAAACAGCCTATGGGGCGTGCTGTTAGCTCTAGTAGTGGTTTTGGAGTTAGGAAGTGGTTCCAAGCTCATTAATTTAAGCCAAGCCTTAAAGCTGACTGTTGCCTGTGAACAGTGTGACTTCCTCATGCTGCCCTGCTCTGCCCTGTACTGCAGTCATCGAATTGAAAACTCGCCGAGTTAAAACAGGTGTTAGGAATTGGTTCTCTCTGGGAGAGAGTGCAGCATTCCCCCGTTTTAACAAAAATAACTGCCCCATGTTTGGAGACCTCGGAAGGGAATTTACCTGCGTGACCTTATTAATCCCTCACAACCACCCAGCAGTTGCTTCATCATGGAGCAAAGTAAACCCCTGGGTCCTCAAGAGTAGGTCATACAGTGAGGACCCCGGTCTGTGCAGTCTTCATGGGGTGTGCGGTGTGCAGCGGGTACTTAGGAGTTAACTGGTAAACCTAATTCTCAGGAGCTGGGTGAAGTGGGGGCAACTTCGAGCCCTTCCCCATGACCACCTCAGGGAGCAGGGGAGCTAGCTGTCCTCGGTGGCCTCCACAGCCCATCTGAAGTCCGTTCCTCACTCTGGGACGTGGCAGGCCCCAGCGCACACCATCTGTACCGCCGTCCTTCCTGCCCCTGCTGTTTTCTAGCCTACCTTGCCCTGTGTGTCCCTCCGGAATCAAACCATGGGCAGATGAGCTGCCGCTGACCATGGGCCTCGTTCTGCTCCTGAGGTGGTGGGCTCTAACCTGGCAAGTGTTCTTGTATCTCTCCAGTGCGAGGATGACGGGCAGACGTTCTTCAGCCTGGATGACGGGAACACCAAATTCTCTGACCTGATCCAGCTGGTCGACTTTTACCAGCTGAACAAAGGAGTCCTGCCTTGCAAACTCAAGCACCACTGCATCCGAGTGGCCTTATGACCGCAGACGTCCTCTCGGCTGAAGACTGGAGGAAGTGAACACTGGAGCGAAGAAGCGGTCTGTGAATTGGTTAAGATCACACGTCGATTCTGCACCGGGGGACCCAGAGCGAGATGGGTTCATTCGGTGCCAGCCGATCAAGATTGACTAGTTTGTTGGACTTAGACGACGATTTGCTGCTGTGAACCCAGCAGAATCACCTCCCTCTGCATTGGCCAAATTGGGGAGGGCATGGAAGATCCAGCGCAAATTTGAGAATAAACTGGAATGATCACCTTGGCTTGGGCCGCTTAGGAGCAAGAACCGGAGAGAAGTGATTGGAAATGAACTCTTGCCCTGGAATAATCTTGACAATTAAAACTGATATGTTTACTTTTTTTGTATTGATCACTTTTTTGCACTCCTTCTTTGTTTTCAATATTGTATTCAGCCTATGGTAGGAGGGGATGTGGCTTTTCAACTCACATAATACAGAAAGAGTTTTGAACGGGCAGACTTCAAAGTGAATATGGGTCCCCAAATGTTCCCAGAGGGTCCTCCTCTGCCAACTGCCACGGTGTGGATTCAGCTCCCAAATGACAAACCCAGCCCTTCCCACTATACTTGAAAAGCTTTTTTGTCAAAATAAAAGGTGTCACTGTGGTAGGCATTTGGCATGTTTTGTGGACTCAGTCAAGCAACCACAGTCTGTTAATCATTTCTCTATGCTCAGATGTCAGACCCTCTTGTTATTAGCGTGTCTTGTTCTGCACAGTGGCAGGAGACTTTACTCCTTTGGAAAATTCACTGTTCCACAAACGGCAGGCTGAGCGGCCTCGCCTCTAGATTGATGTGGGCCAGCCTCCTTGAGACACACCTGGCGCCCGTCATCGGCCAGCGGTGGATGCTGCTTAATCCACCTGGGTACTTTTAGCCTTGCGTTTCCACAGTCTTCAGCCTGTTCTAGAACGATCACTGCCTTACCCCTGCTGCTGCAGTGGTGTGAGTCGTTTCACAGCTGATGTCCCTCGGGGGATTAAAGGATCTAAAGAGAAAATGGCACCTGGTTGGCTTCGTGCTGTGTCTCGTGGGTTTCCATGGTGATAAAGACGAGGAAGCATTGCAGAGGGCACAGGCACAGCCTGACATTTAAAGATCTTTGCTTGCAGCCCTCCGTCCTGCAGAAACCCCATAAGCCAGCGAATGCAGAGCAGCCAGAGGCTCCTCCTCTGCCGGCTTAGGGTCAGAAGTACCTCACAGTGGTTGTGGACATGGAAGAGTTTTGTCAACACAACACTTGCTTCCCGCTCCGGGAAATGAGTCAGACGGTGGCTGGAGTTGTCACTTGGTCCCCTCCACCCCTCGGGTGGCCCCCTTTGCCACGTCCCCTTAGCTTAGTGTTCAGGTGTGAGAGTGGCCATTTCCATACCTTTGATCCCTGCAAAGCGGAAAGGACTCTTGACAAGCAACAGACTCCTGTGGCGAGCAGAATGATTTCCTTTTTCAAGACAGCACCTGCCTGGCTTCTCTGAATCTGTGCTAGCCACGATATTGCCCCACATCCGCCCCACTGAAGTGCTCCCGAAAGAACGGCATTTCTCTGCTTCTCAGTCAATCCCCATAGCCTAGAGCAGTGTCACGAGCTTCAGTAAGGCCAGTGAGCTGGAAGTCAGTCTACAGTATAGTAACACTGTATTTCAGTTTACAGACCACGCTCTAGTTGTTCTCCATGAAAGGTCTACTTATACAAATGCGTTTTTTAGCAGAACACGTTTTTAACCATCAGTGCTCAATTGCCTTTTCTTCCTTTTGCAGCCAGTTAACCTTTCGAACTATTGACAGTGAGATCATTCTCGCATCCACCCCTGGCGGCACGCTTCACTGTAGGGACAGACGTTGCGGTTACACCACGATTCCTTCTTTCTCTTCACTGGCTCGAGGTAAACCCTTTCCAAGGAAAAGCAACTCTAGGATTTCTTTCGTCTGTGTACGTAGACCAGTCCCATAAGTGTATAATCTCTCTTTCACGCCTCTCTCCAGTAGACAGCTTGTATTTGCGGTATTTCATATTTACAAATAAGCGTTTATTTAGAAGGAGAACAAAAGCTTGACTCTGATTCACAGTTTTGTATGTAGCTGGTTTGACGTAGTCTTTTGTATTTTCGCTGCCGAAGTGAATTGTTGGAGAATGTAAACCGCCTTGGTGCGGCGGCAGATTTCCTAAGGCTCCAGCTCGCTGGCCCCGTGCTGGGCAGCTGGGAATTCCACCTGAGAACAAGTCCCGCAAACCAGGGACGGAAGGACATCTGACTTTTATTTTTGTATTTAATTGACATGAATGTAAAGGGGACAGCTCAGGGTTGTTTTGGAGCCTGTTGACTTTGTATCTCTGCCTGTGATTTTCTTTTCTAAATGAAACTCCATGTAGCAACCGGAACGAAGTTGAGAAGGAAAATGCCAAATGCTTTGGTTATTAGAGTTTAATAGGTAAGCTCTGTTACACTAGATGTTAGAGTTCCAGAATGTTCTTTTGTTTGCTAAACCTTGAAGAAACATGTGCCTCAGCCTAGATGTTTTGTCTTCTCTTTTCTGCACTTACTAACTGACAGTGTGACCGATCTCTGCGCCTTCCCGGGGGTGGGCGAGCTGGCGGTAGATTTGTGATGTCACAGTGCGAACTGCAGTGACTGTAAAATGGCCTGGCGTGTGTAAACGTTTTCAGGGAATGCAGAAGGTATTAATGAAGAGACAAAACCTTTATTCCATGTGCTTTGCATCATTCTGTACATAGCTCTTTGGCTCGTGAACCTAATTGTAAACTTTCAGGTATTTTTGTACAAATAAGGGACTGATGTTATGTTTCTTGTAATTAGAAATAAACATTAATACAGTGTTCTTCATTTTCTATTGCTGGTGATGTCTTTTTTCTGTATTTTAAAACACTGGCTGGTTGTCCACTAAAAACCTTTTGAAATGACTTAGGATACTAAAAACACATTTCTTACCCCTAGCTAGAAACTGTCACAAGGAATCCATAGCTGCTTGGGATGTGTCACACACAAGCTGGCCCAGCCCTGATGTGATGCCAGGCTTGGCTGCTCAGTGCTCTCAGTTGGTGGCAAGACAGGCTCAGCCGGCCTCTCCTCCCCCATAAAAATTGCAGACCTCAGAAGCTTCCAGAAACAGATACACAAGCTTAAGAAAGAACTCAAGAAACTCACAAACATTCACTCTTGAGCCCAACTGGTATTTTTTCCACTGCAGTAGGACAATTAAAATGTCAAGAACCTAGGTCTCCTAGGCAAGCAAACAATTGACACACTAAGAATAGATGCCCTCTATTCTTGGGCCCTCGCCTGGGAGGACCCTGGCTGAGCCACTGACACTTGGGCCAGACTTGCCATCTCACGCCTCCTCCCTGTCACAACCAGGTCAGCGGGGTGGGGTGTGTGCCCATGCACATTGTCGCCAGCCAGCCTGGTCCACCAGCAGGAGCGCCCCCATGCTGTGCAGACTCTCCTGTCATTTGTTTTCAGACTCTGGATCCTCAGTTTCTGGAAGCCCACTCTCTTTGCATCATCATCCACGCCAGCTGCTTCAAAACAACAGAGACAAGAAAGCCCAGGGCAGGTGGGGAATCGATCATAGCTCCAAGGAAGCTGTAGGCAATGTGAGAATGCAGCTCGCTGTCTCCAGCACATTCACTCCGACGGTTTTCACGCGTATCTTGAGTGATTAGTAAAATTACAAAAAGGGATTTTGTTTGATGACAAAAGCCTTAGCTGCTTAAGTATAAAAAGGTAAAATATTCAACATCTTCTAGTTGTAGAATGGTAAAGGCAGTGTTGCCCCCTTTTCATTTTGGAAGTTATACAACCTTAATAAGAAGGGCAGGAAACAAAAATGAAAAATCCGCCTTAGACAGAGTTGGGCTTCATCTGCTGTGTCACCATCCACGAGATGGGCTGCTCGGGAGGCCTGCGAAGATCTAGCAAGGACCCCGTGACAAAGGGTGCCCGTGGCTGCTGGCCTCAGCACAGCCTGCAAAGGGCACTTGAGGATGAGTGGCGCCCCTAAGGGAACTTGGGGTCCTCTGGGAACAAGGAAAAAAGACACTGGGGTTGGTGGCAATTGGTGTCATTTTTTGTTTTTCAGGACATGGTGGGCACTTTTGATCTGAAGCTAGATCAAAGTCTCATTCGATTTCTGGGAATGTTTTGTGAATTGCATTTAATTTTTTCTTTTTGAGTCCTTTTTTTCTTTTTAATTTGTTTTTTATTGAGATAAAATATACATATGTAATTTACCATCTTTACATTTTAAGTGTACAGTTCAGTTATTATAAATGTTTCTGCTTCCCTGTCCCACCCCATTTCCCAGCCTCTGGTAGCCACCGATCGATTCTTTATCGTCACGAGATCTAGTTTTTTAGCTCCCACAAATGAGTGAGGACATGTAATGCTTCTCTTTCTGTGCTTAGTTTCGCTTCAGATGGTGTCTCCATCTCCCTCCATGTTGCTACGTCTTTGCAAAAACATGGCGACTGTGTGTTCGTTCCCTTTTGTCAGCCTCTCCTAGCATTCGCATTTCCTTGAGACCTGCAGCTCTCTTGGCGTTTGAATTTGAGTTGCTGTCTTAGTCCTGTCCTCCTTATTTCCACCACAGTGTTTCAGTAGAGTCTGTTTTCCATGCTGTTTCCATGTGCACTTCCCTGCTAGGCGGGCTTCACTTTTCTCTGACATTTCTCTTCAGCTCTCTGCCGGCTTTCCTTATCTAGTGCCTGAGCTCTTACAGCTTTGCTTTGATCTTTGGTGATATGATTGCTTTCTTCTTTTTTGTTTTTTTCTTTTAAGTTCATAACATGTTTGGTTGCAATTTTAATCTACTCGTGGCAATGTTTTTCTGCAGAATGTTCTTTGCTACCATTTTTCCCTGTTATTTTCCTTTATCTTGGGGTACCTACATACCCCAAGTGCTGGTTCTTTAAAGGAGATGAGTTCTTCTTGGACTAGCCAATGACAGGAAGTTTGTGTAGGGAAGACCACAAAGGCTGTGTTGGATGCTACCAGGATGAAAAAAAGTAAACAAACCCTTGTGTGTCCAAAGGCTGATTATGAGAGTTTCAGGAACTTGACAATGTAAGCCATTGAGACGCGCAGCCAACTCCTTTCCCTTCCTGTGGTCACACCATCTTCACATCCGGAAATGACAGCTGGTAAATTTATAATAGAACCACATTTTCTTATTGATCATCACTGTATACTCACACGAGCACAAATCCATTCTTCTGTAGCTGTATACTCACCCCTGGGCACATGGATGCACTCTGCTGTAGCTGTATGCTCACACGTGGACACAGATCCCATCTGCTGTAATTGTATATTCACACGTGGACACAGATCCAGAGGTTCTGATTCAGTAGGCTGAGCAAGGGACAGAAAGGTACCTTTCTACCAGGCCTCCCCCATGGTTCCATGCATCCCCCACCGGGAAAGGAAACGTTAGAGGATGCTAAGGAGCCAGGCATGTGGCTTCCTCTGCCACACGGCTGACACAGCCGGAACAGGATGGTGCTGGGCCGTAGTAACAGACTCCGATCTGCCCGCTGGTCAGCCACCTGCAGCGCTGTGCAAACCCAAGACCTCTGGGTCTTCCTAAGTCCTGCGGAGTAAAACCCTTTGACTTGGCAATTAAAGTGCTTGCTCTCATAGCACCACAGGTGAATGAGATCATCTCCAACTTCCCATGAGCTCCAGTAATTTATGATTTATGAATTTGCTTCATCTTCATCCCTCCGAAAACCATCAGAGACTTTTAGCTTCTAAATGTAGTGGTGTTGGTAGTTAATACTGAAAAAACAAATTTATTAGTCAGCAGCAAATATCAGGAGGAAACTTCAGAAGCTTGCCTTAAAACCAGAACAAAGTCTAAAATCACTGCCAAACCAGGCAACCTCGGTGTTTTATAATAAAAACCAAAAGGAACAAGCTTAAAAAAAAAAGAAAAATCAAAAAAGGCTGCTGCCTTAGTTATAGCCTTCAGGCAAGCAGACCCCAGGGGCTCAAATAAGACAAAACCTCAGGTTAGCTGCCAGTCTAGCAAACTTGTGCGGTCTAAAGAAACATGTTGTAAAAAAACTGTCCCCCAAAAAAGGGACCACCACCTCATCCATGCCCGCTGTGCCAAGGAAATCACTAAAAAGCACACTGTCCCTGGGAACCAAAGTCCCCTGGGCCTAAGGTGTCTAACCAAATAACCCAATGGCAAAACTAAGAATGCCTATAACAAGTGCCGTCATGAGCCATCACCCTCACAAAGCCCCAGGTAAAGCTAGCCATAAAGGTCCAGGAAGCCAGTCTTCTCCTGGGTGCTGGCACAGCCTTCTCAGTACCTGTCTCCTGCCCTGAAAGCTTGGTGCTGATATTAGGAAAGTTACTACCTCTATTCACTTACTGTAACCTATCTCAGAAGTTAATTAATAACAAAAACAGCTTGCTAATTCTCTCTGCAAAGGGCAGCTCTCTGTACAAACCAGCTTAACTCTTTAGCTGCCGTGGCTTTAAAAATAAAGCCCTCAATCTGCTAACAACAGAGAGGAGGGAAAACTCTTTCTTTCTAGAAAAAAATGCTGCTCCTTTGTAAACCAGTTAAGCGTTATTTTAAACATAAAACTCAGAAATCAGTCAAAAACAGGGCTAAAAACCTTCGAGAACATGGCTGTGTTCCCTACTAGGCTCGTTTATAACTCTAAGCCTCACATCTTTAACCATCTGGTCATATTCATTTCTTATAGAACCATAAGGTCACAATCCTGCTGCTGAAACCCCAAACATCCTTAGCTCATAAGCTCTATGGTAAACCTGTAAATCAACTTGTACCCCTAAAAAGCTCCTCTCTGAAAAAAAACTCAACGACAGAGCCCCTTCTGTGCCTCATTTCAGCAGGAAGTAGTTAAAAAGGAGCAATGCCCCTATTCCAACAGAAGTTAAACTTTCCTGTTCAGAGGAGGAATGAGGAGGGAATGAGGGAATGTGTTCTCTTTCCAGGTCCATGAGAGGGGTAACTTTAAGGGCAAGAATTTCCCAGCGCCGTGCCCCCCTCCCATCTCTCTCCATTCAGGAGATTCAATGGTTTATGTTTGAATTTCAAAGGCAGGGGAAGAAACTAGAAGTCAGTCACTCCAGCTGAAGTTCTAAGGAACTCCTTTCATTGGCCCAGGGTCTTGGAGAAGGTGGGGGTTTCTCCCAGGATAAAAGTCCATGATCCCTCACCTGCGCCAGATTTCCAGCTCTCTGGAATCCTCTCCCACACGGTGGGAGCTCCCTAGGGATTTCCCCTCTAGAATCCCCTTCCACGCTCTTCGTGGGAACCTTTCTCTTTTTCGCCTTTCCTTCTCTTTTCTCTCCCTAAATAAAATCACCTTTCTGCAACACTGTTTTAGGTCCAAAATTTTACTTTGCGAGCATACGGTGCTGCTAAAGTGGCCCCACTGCTTCTTCTTTAAAAGGTTGGCGGCTGAAAACCCACAACATCCAAGAAGAAACCCGGTTACACAGCACAAAGGCTGACAATTAATTCTAAAGTTCCCAAAGCTGCCCTCAGGGGACGTGCCAGTGAACTCAGAGCGGGCACCCCTGGAAAAGGTCCATGGAGGGCTCGGGCAGCCTCCAGCGCAGCACCACCACTGGCAGGCTCTGTTTGTCCCATGCTCAGGGCCAGAGGCAGTGGAGATCCTGTCGCCTCAGTCTCACTCCCTGCCCGAGGCCCACCAGCCACCTGCTGCTCACCAAAGGGAAAGGAAGACGGTCGATTTGACATGTCCAGCTTTACACAGTTGTTTCACAGCAAAGCCAGGCCAGCACCTGGTCTCCCACTGGCCTGCCTGAGTTCCTCCCAGTGCCCT